GGTGTGCATTTGAATACCCCAGTGGGAAAATCAATACTCCAGAGGAAGATAAATAATATAAACAACCTCACATTTATGAATCCAGGTTACCCAGAGACCAGCAATTCTAACCAAGTAAAATGAATTCATATCATCCCTCTAACTACCTCCATTAGGAAAAGACAGGTACCATTTCTACTTTGCAATTTTATTGCTCATTCTTAACTAGTCAGATTTTTTAGAATTGTCAGCCACCATGATAAATGTAAGAATGTGAAATTATTGAAGATATGGTCTGTCTGACAGATACAGTTACCAATAGTAAAACACTATAGAAATGTAAAGTATCATATTAGGAAAAGAAGCAGGATAAGGAGATTCTAAGATTGTGTGTTTTGAAGTGAGACTGGATCTGCCATTTACTACCATTCACTTATCGTGCAATCCTGGGCAAATCTCAGCCTCAACATCCTTCCATGTCAAGTAAGGTTAATGATAGTACCTATCTCACAGAGGCATTGTGATAATAAAATGAGACAATGTCTGTAAAAAGCATAGGTCAGTGTCTGGCACATGAGATGAAATTTAAAAAGTAAGCTATTCTTAAAATTAACACCTCATTCTTCATCATTTAGATCCATATTCCTTTCTCCAAGTATTTTTGAAATTATGGAATTTGTTTTAACTCCTCACTAACAGAAAAACTAAAACAATGTAATTTTAATTACTCTTAAAGAAGCATTTCATTGAAAATAGTAAGTTCTAAAGACAAAATGAATGTGCTGACAGGAAGCATTAGGTAGGTTGTCCTTGTGATGATACATCTGTGTCATACACAAGGGTAGAGACATAGGGCCAAAGATAAAGGAATAGTCTCCAAACGTGGAGGAGATGAATAGAGAAATATTTCAAATATGTGGGTTTTATTTAAAAACAGAGATGTATCTAAGATTTTTCTTCAATGGTAAGATGGGAGGTGGTTAAATTCTTTAAGAACATAAACAAATTAAAATTAAACTTTTTCTAAAGTTTCTTTGATTTTATTGCCAGAAGTCGTATTGTTGAACTTTCTCATGAAATATAAAAGATGGTCTACATCTAATTTCTGAAATTATGTGAGGTTAATAAAACTTAACTACGAATTTCCTTCATTCAAACAGACCCAGTGACCTCAATTCCTATAAAGCACCTGAGTCCAGATCTAAAACCAACCTGTAGTTTGATTCGATCCAGTCTTTACCTACAAAAGACCACGGCCCACTAGCTCAGTTTTCATTCATGCCCCCAAATCACTCTTCATAGCCTTCACATTCTCATAAATTCCTGATGCCAGGCTTCATTGCTCTCTGTCAGCTGATTCTCCAGCATTTTAGTTTCTACACTCTATTACGCTGCTTACGAAACCTAATTTCCAGCTTTGAATCTGATGCAATGTTCCCGCACCCACCAGGACTAATGTACCTGAAGGCATGGAAAATCCAACTACCTCATCCCTCTCCACTCAGTGACTCCCCAGAATATACCTCCTCTGTGACATTTTTCTCAGTTCAATCTAGGGCTGCCCTGAATCTCTGCTTCTGCCCATTTCATGCAAGTATGAGTATACCTGCATAAACCCCGGCATTCCTTTTACCTCTTAAAAAAATGTGAATTCCTTTTGAATGGGATTCCCAAATAAAAATCTTTCATATCTGTGAGAACTCCTATGGGGCTAGTGAAGAAACGTGTGGTATGTTAGTGAATATTGACTGATGTATTCAATTTTATTTTTTAGTTTAATGTTTTACATTTTATTTTTCAGTAATGATAATAAATAGAAGTAAAGCACATTTTGGGCATTAAGAATTTTACTCTGGAGCCAAACTATTTAGTTATTAATGCCAGCTCTGTTACTTACACTGTGTTCTCTCTAAACCTCAGCTGTCTCAACTGTTAAATGAAGGTAATAATAGTATCTACTTAATAGGGTGATCTTGGGGATCCCTGGGTGGCTCAGTGGTTTAGCGCCTGCCTTCCACCCAGGGCATGATCCTGGAGTCCTGGGATCAAGTCCCACATTGGGCTCCCTGCATGGAGCCTGCTTCTCCCTCTGCCTGTGTCTCTGCCTGTCTCTCATGAATAAATAAATAAATCTTTTTTTAAAAAAATAGGGTTATCTTGAGGATTAAATTAAATAATCCATGTACTTTTAAAAAGGGCATGCTACATATGTATCAAGCACTCAATGAATGTTTGTTGTGTTGTTCTTACAACTATTAATTTACCAGGAAAGTATAACCAGTTATTTTCTAAGGCTTGAGTGTGTGTTTGAACAACTCCTACAATGAGAATCACTAACTTGCAAAAGTGTCAGTTTGGCCTGAATTCAAGTTTGTGCCTTTTCTTCAGAAGTTCTGAAATTGTATCTGGAGAACAATAACATAAAAATAAATTCTTGTTTCTCATCACACAGCACCCAAAACAACTGGAGTTGCCAATACTTTCTTTACTTCTGCCCATAGTATGAATGTGAAATCCAAAATCACAGTTCCTAGGGTTTGAATCCAGCAGATACTCCAATTCCTGTCCCATTTAACCTCTTTGTGTTAGACACTGTCTACCCTCCCTTTCTCTCTTCCACTGACTTCCAGACACATGTCCTGCTTATTTTCTTCCTATACCTTGGGCCCATTACTTCGTAGTCCTTTGTGGTTATCTCTTCCCGTTCTTCAGATAGTGCTGTTGCCCAGGTAACTTCCTTCTCACTCCATAAACTTGCCTCAGATTACTCCATTATCTCTCAGGATTTCAACATGTTGATGACTCCACGTCCATCTTTACTGCCACTGTCTGAGGCCAGGCCCTTACAGTTTTCAACCTGGCTTATGGAAATTACCTCTTAAATTGTCCCCTGGCTGCCATCTTTTCCCCACTTTAAAATTTCTCCTTCACACAACCGCCAGAATGACTTTTCTTAAGTATAAATCTGACCTTGTCACCCTCAAACTAAAGTTCTTTAATGGTTTCTTTTACCTTGCTGAATAAGACCTTAAAATCTTCAAACTACCTATCCCTTCTGCACTTTAATGACCCACATTAGGAAGGTGTCCTACAAGTTTTTGTTGTTCAGATTATGCCAGTTCGAACAAAACAGAGGGTTGTAAAAGTTTTCCCAGGGCTATACTTTTATTCAAATCACTTTCCATCAAAAATAATTGATTGCAGCCTTAAAATCAGAAGAAGTTATCAGCTCCAGTAAATGAATTTTACCAAATCTCCTGAACTGAATGTTTTCAGAAGTCAGTTACACACACACACACACACACACACACACACACACACTACATTGTTGCTCCTTTTTAAAAAATAGATTATAGAATTCTCATGATGGTGAAAGCATATTGCATAAAATAATACACTTAAGTATACTTACAATCAGTTAGACAAAGGAAACAGGGTAATAATGAAAACTGACTATTCCATAATTTAATAGCATTGTCCACAAGTTTAGAAAATTTAGATCCATTATACATTTCAGATCCCATTATAGAACTGCTAATCATCAATCTTTGCTACAAACTGATGCACACTGTTGAGAGTCCAGACATTTCAGAGCCTTCTGTCAATGTATATGAACAATGTAGAGGGATGAACAGGAATTCCAAAAGAAAGAGGGGATGATGGTAAGACCTGCTGAATCAGGAGCCAAAGTCTGAATTCTGTCCTGACCATGGCCCTAAATATATATACATATTTTCAAGATGTTACCTTCTTTATCTTCAGAACAAGGGGCTCTAATTACATGAATCTCTAAGGCTCTTGCCACTTTTGAAATTTGAATATTTAGTTATGGCATACCCACAGAATAGAACAGCTCTCCTCTAAACATTCTTTGAGAAGGATAAAATCCATGTTTGCCTCTCAGCCATAGTTTAAAGACCTCTTAGGTGGCCAGACTTAATGTATATATCTCTGCAAGCCTCCACCATCAGGTACTAAAATCTTTAGCTACCTCACTGCCCTAACTATGCTGGACATTTTCATGTAATGTAGCCTGAATCATTCTAGGCTTGAATCAATAAAAATTTAACAGAGAATTCAACATAACCCACCCCCCGCCCACTCCCCTGTCCACGTAATGATACCTCCTTAGTTTTCTAGTGATATATATGGAATACTTCATAAGGGAAGAACTGAATAAGTGAGGAACATGTGTTTTTAGCTTCAGCTTCTTACATTAGGGCTATAACAGCTGTATGCAGTAAAATGCAAGGGTAGAGTTGGCTGTATCAGACAATTTAAGACATCCACACCATCAGAATCATAGCAGCTAAACATGTATTCTGCAGTGGAGATTTAATGTATTAGATAGGATTATAAGAGAATTGGATTGGCGTCACGATTTTGCATCATATTTTGCTTTGTGGTGAGCTGCAAGCCAGAGTCTGTATGGTTAGACTTGGGGGCTTAGCAACATAACAAATAAAATATAGTGAGAAAGAAACAAGGCTGCATTCTATAGTGTATCAACTGAAAAGCCATCCCAGCATTAAGCAGCTCTGCTGATATTTATAAATGTCTGTCTCAGGCTGTCTCTTATAAACTTCCACTTATAAAGCAAACCCTTGACATATAGCTACTTTTATACTCCTGCAAATAAATACAGGTAGGGTCCTGCAAAGAAGATGAAAAAAGAATGCAGCGTGCTTACCTGCATTATTCAAGAAAAAAAAAAAGAAGGTGGGGAATGCAATGTGCTTCACATAACTCAAGCCAAATTATCCACATTCCCTAAGTCAGAGGTCCAAAACTCACAGAGCAAAGCCAGCAATCTAATTCCAGTTTGCTTTGATTTGAAGGCTTGTGTTTGTCAGAAGACACATAAGCTTTGGAATTGAGTCAGAAAAAAATGTGTAAAGATGTGATATACAGAAAAAGGTAGACGATTCACCCTGTCAGTGTGAGTCCAGGAAGAGTGAGATTCCTCCCACAGATCACTGGCCCCCCAGCCACCTGGAACATGAGTTGCGGATGTCACTTACCCTATGACGATGCAGGAGATGGCAGTTCCCAAGAAGGCGTATGTTAAAATAGATCCTAAGTTTTGAAAAAAGTGTCTCTGGAGAGAAAAGAATATTTCATATAGCACATCCATGTATTTTCTTAGTTTAACAGGAAATTTTTTAAAATGCACACACCATGGACCCTCCCTTCCCACTCTGTTTAGGCAAGCTTCGGCTTTGGAGTCTTAGTTCCTGGTCTTACTGTACAAATAAGGCTGAACTGGTTTATACTGCAAAGGACAGAGGGTTCTCAAAGAAATGGGGGAACAAATACATCCAGAAAACAACAGGGTAGAGATGAGAGAATGACCGCCAAAACTGGCTGGGCCTGAGGGAGAGGGTAAAGAGTCAGGGCAGCATCCATGCAGGACTCTGGAATGATTAACAGAAGACAAAGTTTTTAAAAAAATTTGTTGTCAGTGGAACCCCTTGGGCATTTTAAAAATACGGTTCTAAAAGATTTTAGTTACCCTTGAATTACTGGATCTCTGACTTATATTTCTGCTGAATGTAATGAAACAAAATCTTATCACCTCCAACAATTTATTTTAATGAGTCGCACAGAACGATGCCCAGTATTAAGGCTGTAGGGATAAGGAAGGATGACCTGAGTAAACGCAGCCTTCTAAGTCTCCTGCAATGCTGGCTTTGGAATGCTCCCTTCCAGCTCTTTAAGTGGGAGCCCAGCAGTTGAAACTGAAAGCAGCAAGAGGGAGCCTGGAGTACGTGAGAAAATCAGGTCTGTGCTGAACAAGCTGCTTGGCTGCTGGAGCCGCCAGGCCAAGGGGATGGGAGTCCCCCAGTCTCTGAGGCAGGGTGTGGGCAGCAGGAAAGCAGTGGCACTACCTCTGCCTCTCAAAATTCATACAGGCCAGAGCCTCAGTCTGTGGTCAGGGGATGCTAGCACTTAAAACTATTCAGGGAATTACTAATCTCTGAAATGTGCACAGTCAGGTGGTACCTAAGTAATGGGAAGCTAGAGCACAGAAGCCACAAAACTGCTTTCTCTCTATGAGCATCAACAGCTAAGTGGCAGCAAAGACCTCTTGAGGTTTCACTCTGATTGATAAACCCAGTATCTATCTCAATTAACAGCTAACTCTTTTGTTACAATCATCTAGAATAATATTGTCCAATAGAAATATAATGTAAGCCATGTACGTTGTTTAAGATTTTTCTAGTAGCCCCATTAAAGTAAGTTTTAAAAAGTGAGATGAATTTTGATAATATATATCTTCTTTAACCCAATATATCCAAAACATTATCATTTCTACATGAAATCAATATCACACATAATGTAGCTATTTTACATTCTTTTTAAATACTAAGTCTATGAAATCCAGTGCATATTTTGCACTCACAGCATGTCTTCATTCAAATTAGCCACATTTCAAGGGCTTAATAGTTGCATGTGACCAATGGCCAGTATATTGGGCAGAGCAGATTTAGAAGAATTCTAAGCATGTCGAATTTGAATCTTTAGCACATAATCTAAGATAATGATATCTTTATGAAACAAATAAACCCATAAAATAATTGTTTTTTCATTAGCACTGGTACAATTCTCTACTTATTGATAAAAGAAAAAAAACAATCACTGCATATTTACCTTCTTCAGGCTGTATCCTGCATGAAATATAATTGGTGGCAGTAAAACATTGAAGAAGATTTCTGGATCAAATGTCATCTGCCAGAAAAAATAAAAGAGCAGTTAGGAAGATGCCCCTTTGGGTCACCAAAAAATGTGATTTAAAAATACAGTTATAGTCATCTCTGCTAAGTTTCTATGGGGCATATTAGCAGGTTGTTAAATTACACAGGTGAAAGTAAGAAAAAATGCAAGCTTAGAAATTCATAAATGCAATACAACTGTGAAGTAATACATTCAATGTAAAGCCTATAGTCCATTCTATGGCTAATAACTCAATAAAAACCCTCTGGGCAAAGAAAACTCTTTGCATTTATTTTGGTTAGTTGTTCATTCTTCACATTTTAAATGTTTTCTTTTTTTTTTTCTGGTCCAAGGAATTTTCTGGTAGTGCTCAAACATTTTAGCTTCTGACAAGAATATATTTAAACTTTTCCCAAATAAAACATTTTTAAAAATTTGGTCTTAGTTTTCCTTACTTTATCCAATTCCCGAGTTTAAAACATTTTCCAGACTCTGTGGAAAAATATATTTGATTTATTTATTCATGAGAGACATATAGAAAGAATGGCAGAGACATAGGGAGAGGGAGAAGCAAGCTCCCTGTGGGGAGCCTGATGCAATATTCAATCCCAGGACACCGGGATCACTCCCTGAACTGAAGGCAGATCCTTAACCACTGAGCCACCCATGCATCTCTCTCTTTTTTTTAAGTTATTATTTATGGAAAAATATATTTGAAAATGAAAATGGATTTTTATGATATTTGTTTATTGGCTTTTATTTAAATGTTAAATTTGGGCAAAAAAATAATTACTTGTGAAATACAATGAAATGAAATATGAAGACTCTTGAATCCAATATCCACTATTTGCTAGGAAGTCCGAAAACTAAACTCTTTTAATATTTATATCTCACTTAGACTCATCCTCTTCTTTCTCTACCCCACTCCACAAACACAGACACAATGTCATTCATTATTCACCACTAGGGCCTTTTTACCATTACAGTGTTCATAAAATCTTTCAGATGTATGGGTTTCACAACTATAGTATCTAATTTTCTCTACCTTTTTTGCCTTAATTCTAACTCATCTCTAAAGCTGGATTTCAGAAGCTACTCTTTTCTGAAATCCACTTTGATTTCCCCAGTCACTTCTGTGCTCTTTCAGCACTTTGTATCTTCCTTCTCCGTTTCCATAACAGCCCCTCAACTCTACTCATGTAATATTTGAGAAGGGGTAGGTGCAGGAAATAGGAGTCACCTAACTCAGCCAGGTCCCTTCTCAGAACCTTAGTCATCCATTGATGCTACACTGCTTGTATCAACGAGCATTCAGGTGGATCAACTATGGCCCATCCACAGCTCTCTGTGCCTTAGTTTCTTCATCTTTGGAATGAATATAATAATGTGATATCTATTTCTAAGGTGGTTATAAAAATTAAATCAATTAATATTTGTAAAGCCCTTGCTGCATTGCCTAATATTTAGTAAGCACTTTTAAGTATTTATTACTAAAGAAAATAAAATATTTTGCAAGTTATGCTATTTGAAGAAATTGCCTTGTTGTTAGGAATTCTTGAAGGCTATGGCTGTGTAAAATTTGGGCAAAGATATTTATGCTTCCTTCTAAGTTTGTTCTTTTTTCTAAGATTACCTGATATACCATTATTGATCTATTTTTATGAGGTCTCTTTGAAAGTATATCAATTGCATATTTGAAAGTTTTTAGCAAAGAGATATATTTCTGAGTGCTGCAGGAATGAAGCAATGCAGCTGTGATCATCTGGAAGAAAAAAAAACACAGTGGCACCAACATTTTGGACAGAAAATCCCTTGCCTCAGCAGTTTTTCTGCACAAACCAGGTTAATCACTCAACCAGAACATTTCAATAATCAGAATGCCCCATTCCCTGCATGCAGGTTAACTAATGTGCTATTGAATTATATTTTCTGGAGCAGCCAGATGAAACTGGCAGGCTGAGAATGGCATGCAGCATACGAGGATTTATTTGTATATACAAAACAGATTTGTGTTCCTTTCAGACTTGCTATAAGCTTAGGAACTGCTAAATCAGAGTTCTGGGAGTAACTCCAAACCCAGACAATTTCTCAGAAATGGCTGGATCTGCTGCTGTACCAATCTCCAGATGGCGATTCCACATGTCATTTTCCTCAGATTTTGTGTTCAAATCATGGCCTTGGAGGTGAAACTGTTTTTAAGGCCCAAACAATTAAAATTTCTCAATATAGTATGAGGGAGAAAAATCTAAAACAAGTGAAAGCAAAAAGCTAAAATTATTTCATCTAAGACATCAGTCCATTAAGATACAGAGTGTAAACACCATCCCTGTCCAATAAAACTTCCTGTAATGGTGGAAATATACTCTAATTGTACTATCCAATATGGTAACCACTAGCCACATGAGCTAGTAATTGAATTGCAGGCTAGTGCAACTGAAGGACTGAATTTTTTATTTTCACATCTCCCGAGTGGTAGCTGGCAAATGCATTTATCCCATTTTCCAGAGACAGGAGGAGAAATGAATGGCTCAGGGCTAATCAATGTGACAGGCAGATCACTGAGAATTGAGTGTATATTCATAGGCAAACTAAATGTGTAGTTTCTGAGGAAACGGGAGGCTAACCTAACTATTTAGAATAAGATCTAGGAGTGTTTAAGAGGAGTTGGGACTCAGAAGTGGGTTTTATTATTTTGGTAATTCCTGAGTCTTTTGGAAAAGTAGAAGTAGTTAACACAACAATGTGTTCAATCATCTTTTTTTCATTAAAAATTTAAAAAGTCTTTTCTCAGCTACAAAGTACTTAAAGATATAGGATAGATTTATTAAATACATGAAGGCTATAGTCCAAGAAAGGAAAGACGATACGCAAGCACGGTAAAAGGCATGGGGCTAGGCTGTAATTCAGAGTTCTTTAAGACAGAAACACCATTCTGGGCTTGCCAACCCTGGGAGGTTTGATGTTTAAGCAGCATATGAACTGGGTTTTGAAGGATAGATAGAAGCCTATCCATGGGGCACCACCATATAGAACAGGATCCCTGTCTGTCCTGGGTGCAATGGGCCAATTCACCAAGCCACAGAGGAAACTGGTAGCTTCCTGGGGTTTCAGTTATACTCTATAGCAAGTGATTTGAAACATTTTAAATATTAAAATAAATGCAGACATAGTAAAAAAAAATCTCAAAAAGTCTGTATGTGCTTTTACTATAAATAGGAGACTTCAAAGAAAACTTGGCTAGCTCAGGGCAGGCAGCTTTGAGACATACCTAGAGACAGCTCAAGAGTATGCATTTCCTTTCCTCTGCCCTAAGTTATGCTTTTGAGAGGAGGTGCCAGACACACTTGGGAAATAGAAATAGACAGTGTAGGGCTCCTGAGAGATAGGAGAGGAGTTTAATGCAGATGGATATTACCTAGACTATGAGCTCTCTCTGATCCTGTGGAGATAGATTTAAACTACATTCATTCAAACATGGAGAAAACTAAAACTATTTTATAGAGGTAGGATTAAACAATAAAATGGCCAGCGAGAGTATAAATTTGTACAACCTCTTAATGGGGTAATTTGGCAATAGGTATCCAAATGTTAAATGTCTATACCATTCAATTCAACAATATTCCATCTGAGAATTTATCCTGCAGATATGCTTGTATATGTATGGAGTAGCATAAGAACAAGAGCATTCGCTGCAGATAAAAGCATGAAAAAAATATCTTGGGGATGGTTAAAGAAGATCTTGGGGATGAACTGGTTAAATTATGGCATAATTCATAAAATTGAATACAATACAACTTTTAGAAAGGCTGAGGAAACTATGCATTGAAATGGTTGCTCTCTATAATTTGTTGTCAAGTCAAAAGAGCAAGGTATAATAAGATCAGCATGTCTGGTGCATATAACAAAGATTGCTATATGCTCACCATACCTCACTTCATTTTTGTCCTTGTCAGACACCTAGACTTAATATCCTTGTAGTCATATGGGGTCAAAGACAGAGATCTATCTATCCAATTAAATGTGGACAAAAGTAATATAAATTATTTCCAAGCCTGATCCCTAAAAATCCCCTAAATCTTTCATGCTCTGTTCCTTTCTTTGTGAGCTCATATAGAGCATCTGGCAGAGGGCTCAAATCCCCAGGGACTTCAGAGCCAGTAGGTTAAAGTCAGTTGGGATGACTAACAGCTACTGAAGACTGTAGTACTCCCCTCACTGGCCCAAAATCCACAATGGATTGGGACATGAGCAAGAAATAAACCATTATCATGTTAAATCATTGAGATTTGAGGGGTAGTTTGTTAAGGCATTTTGCTAATTCCAAGATTGGTGCAAGGAAAGGGGATGTAGAATATTTACACACACACACACACACACACACACACACACACACACACACAAACCATTGGTTGCCTCCTGTGAGGCTAGGAAAGAGAAACTGGTGGCAGAAAAGAAAGGTAGAAGTTGGAAGAAGGATTTTCTGTATACTTAGTGAGCAGGTGATTATCTGTGTCCTGGCTTTGTATCTATAAATAAAGAGATGACCACTGCTTAGAGCAGTGCATCCAGCATTTCCCCATCATGACACAGAAAATGATTATATTGGGTCAGTGGGGAGAAAATTAGGGTTCTGATGAGACTTCTCAGGACTAAAAGGATCAGACTTGGGGCTCTGACCATCCTCAGCCCAAGGATGAGGGGATCAATATGTTGTGGCACACATATAACCCATCATGCACCAGCTGAGGAGTGCTGTGCAGGATTTAACACTCCTGGCCCTGGTCCCATCTTTCATTCACTCATCCCCAGGAAACCAGGAAACAGAGAGTGACTACTGTGGTTACTGAGTTGTAAAAAGGGAATTGAGTGTGTGCAGCTCAGTGCTATCCTCTTTCCACACTGGAATCAGCCTGCTTGCTGAGAGTAGTCACTCAGCCTGGCTCCTCCCAGCCCTAAGTTTTGTAAGAGCAAAGCTCAGCAGGAAGGCCCATACACTCCAGATGAGTCTGTAGCTA